CTCGGCGACGTGAAATTCGCTGAACATTAGTTTCCTCCCAGGATATTCTGTCGTTCTGTAAGGCGGCAGAATCTCGATTGACATTCCGTTGGCAATTGCGTGGCTGGGTGCTTTTTCTTCTCTGGAACCTTTGTTGCCGCCGTGGAGAATCTTCGTCTCATCCGGATGTAGTTCGGGTCCTGTTTTGGCGGCCGCCTTGCTCGAGTCGCCCAGCGCGCTGGTCACGCGGCGCAACGACCCGGCTAATGTGATGCCACCTGCAAACCTGAGGGTTGTAAGCCGTTCGTGCCCACCGAGAACTTTTGTAACCCAATCCGTTTCGCAGACCACTTCTGTTTGATGGTCCGCATAATACTTTCTGATGCGCAATTGAAGAACAATGAGCTTAACGGGTATCCCTGCTTCGTGCCTCTTTGTGTGTGGAACTCTCTGCGAATCCTGTCAGTTCGGACTGCAGCTGTTTGCCCATCGTACAGATTGGCTAGTACGTGTACGTGCTCACTAAGGGCTCGCCAAATGCTTCGGTGGGTGACCGTGTCGAAGGCCTTCTTGAAATCGCCCGTTTCTGTCCATAGCGGGATCACCCACTCGTCCGCCGTCTCATGTGCGTGAATGATCGTGAACAGATGGTCGCACGTGCTGCGGCGGGGTCGGAAACCGGCTTGGTCGCTGCTTTGTTGGTGGTCTAGGATGAGGCGCAGGCGGTTGCAAAGTCATCGTGGGAACATGTGTATAGCATTGCTATGGTGGCAATAGGTCGGCAATTGTGTGGTAGGCTTAGAATTACCACTCTTGTAGATTACCTTGACCACCGCATTGTTCCAATAGCTTGGCGTCGGTGCCGTCGGGCTCGCAATGCTGTTGTGGAGATCCAAGAGAACCTGTTTCAACGCTTCGCCTCCCGACTTCAACATCTCTGCCGCGATACATTGCGGGTCAGCCGCTCGGTTCGACTTCATTTGTCGCAGAGCAAAATCAAGCTCATCAATAGTGAAAGCTCGAATTCCTTGATCGGTTGTACTCGGCGTCGGCTGTTCTCCTCGATTGGTGTCTTGGTAGAGCTTCTCGTAGAAAGCAGCAAAGACATGTGCAATTGATTGCCTGTCGTGCTGTGTCTCGCCGTCTGCATTAATCATGCTAGAAATTAGTTCCTTCTGCTTGTGCGACCTCATGCCGTTGATTCGCTTCAAGTGCTTGTACTCCGTAAATATGTGGTCAATGTGGACTCGTTGCGTCGCTCTCCGGATGGCTTTCGTCTCTTCCCGCATGGCTTTGTTCAGCCGCCTCTTCGCCGTGGTGTCACACGGTGGAGTCTCGCACCTTGCTTGTAATGGAGATGACAACCGCTGCGTGGTCTGTTTTCGGGCATCGCCTCTCATTGTGCCAGGCGTCGGCTGGATGTCGGAAAGTATAGTTTTGATCGTTGTTTCTATCTCGCCACATCGTGCTTCGATCTCTTCAATTTTCAGTTGCATTTGTACATCCAACAACCTATCATCTAATTTGTCCGTGAGGCGCCCCTGGTAGAACACCGGGTCGCATGGCGGCCACTTCGGTACTGCTTGTCTGGATTTCGGGCATCTTCATTGCCACTCGCACTGCCAAGTGGTCAGAACCCATGTCAATGGCAAACGTTGCTGCACAATCACACATTATACCCCAAACCCGCCGGCTGGTCAACACAGCATCAATGTGTCTCTGCACTCCCTGTGGAAACGTATATGTGTATAAATGGCCCGGCTGTTTCCGAAAAAACGTGCTTGCGAGTCTCAGCCGCTGGTGAGCAGCTAATTGCTTTAGCCACTGGCCCCTCACATTCACATCTGCCGTGGAAGCCGATTGTTTTGTGGTCGTCGTCTTCAAATGCTTGTCCCACTCTGGCATTTCAGTCCGCCCCAACCAAAAACATCATCTGTTGCTGTGTAGGCTCCCGGTGTAGACCCCCGAGAGTATCATACATAGACTGCGCGCGTTGTTCCGAAAATCCACCATGCGGAAAGTAGCTGCTCACAGTGCGTCGTTTTATCCGTCCCATGTGTATGCCGACATACGCAATTATCTCATCGATGGGGCAAAACTGTCGTATAGCAGAAGCCCACCGCTTGTTAATCACAGTTGCAACGCCGTGGCTGTCACTCTGAAGTCCTGTCTCTATAAATGCATGGCCGTCCAGGGATAGCCCAAATTCCTCTTTGACGTCTTTTCATGTTTCGTTTACCGTCGCAAAGTCCCAATCAATATGTCCCAAGTCCATACACAATTCCGAAACCCTGCCTGCATTTGTCAATCCACGCACATTCTTATGATACGTAGTCAGCAGAATAAGGTCGCAAATACCATCCGCGATTGTTGTTGTAGTGTGTTGTCCTCCAGCTGATGGCGTACAAAGCCGTCGGTGGCTGGAGTCCTGAAGGATTGAGAAGCTCCTGAAGGGAAGCGGCCGTCGACACAAGATACTTCCCCCTTTCTCCCCCTCTCGATTTCCCCTTTTGGATCCAGAGTCGGAGAAAGCAAAATATCTGAACGTGTAGGTGTCGAACATGTTGAGGTATCCTGGACAACCTGGCGCTGTCCGTCCGCTCCGCCGGAATAGCGTCACTCGCTTTCCTCGTCTGGTTTAGGATTTACTTTAAGCCTCCACTTCCGCATTGACTCTTCCACTGCCGCTTCCACCAGTTTTCCGGTCACCGTCGTGTGCCACTCACCGTCTGCATTATACCATGCTATCTTATCTTCCCCCCTGCCCCATCCCTGATCACTACCATCTCCTTCTGCCATACTATTTTGAAATGTGTGGTTGTTTGGAAAACATGGTACTTAACATATCCCATCCTTTTCTCACGATCCCTCTCCTTCTTCGTCAAGTTGCTGCGGACAAATATGTATCCAAATGCCTCTTCGTCTTTATGCAACTTGTCCCGTACCGTCTTCCAAAAAGCCACCTTAGCCCGTATACTAGGGAATTCAATCACACCAAATTTGGTAGGGTCCGCGGTAGTCTTCACAATTGCCTCCGGGTCGTTGCCAAGGAGGTTCTTGAGCTTATTCTCCAGATCCTTCACGATTGTCGGAGCCGACATGTTCCCGTTGAATCCGACAGCAATCACCTGCCTAGTTCGCAGCTCCTTCTCCGATTCTTCCTTACATCCCCATGTCTGTCCCGACCTTTGCGACGCACTGCTCCTGGAAGAGCCTTTGTTGATGTTCATGGTGTCTTTCATTTTCTCGACGTTCTTTTTCAGATCCTCGCTTGTTCTGTTGGCCTCGTTTACTTTTTTGTTTACCTCCTCCCTGACCTCTTCCACCGCTTGCTCCGCTATGTTCGCCGCTCCCTTCGCCTGGCGTGCTAGGTCTTTGGCCTCCTCTGCTTTCTTCTTCGTATCCTTCATGTCCTTCCTCAAGCCTACCATCATTTTCATCATCCTCTTCATCATAGTCTTCATGTATTCGTCTTCGTCTTCTTCCTCCTCCTCCATCCCCACCTCCTTTGGGAGTTCCTCCTCTTTGGTCTCGTCAGTCTTCAATTTCTGATCCTTCGGTGTCGAGCCTGTCTTCGACCCGGCTTTTTTCTTACCGCCCGTCTCCATGATTGATAATCGATGTCGGTCGTGAGAGCGACAAAGATGCACACAGCAATGAAGAGAATGGGTTTTGGTCAACAGAGTCAAGGGTAAGAGAGAATTAAGTATAGGTATCGGATGTGTGCCAAGCACATCGCCTCTGCCTTCCATCCTTCCCCTCTCCCCTCCTGTGCTTTCTCCCTCTACATCCCACGCTCTTCCACTCACTCCGGGTTGGACGCACGAACAGCCGGTCGAGACAGTTACTGAGAAAACGCGCAGATTACGAATACGAAAAACGCGGGGCTAGGCACACATGCGGAATGACAAATGGATCAGTGCCATCTGGAACAACGGCTCAACATTAACTGCTCGTGTTAGAGGCAATGCCGGCGGGCGGATGGGACCAAATATCAGCAACCGAACAATGCTTCCGACCAGACTGGTGGGAACATCTGACGCCTCAGAAAGATAAGGTGTCAGTCAACTCAAAAGGACATTTCAAGTCAATCAAGGCAATGGCATCGTAGATCAAATAACATGGTCAAACACAACACTGAAAAAGTGCGCTCTGCATGCCTGGGACATTCATTCCTTCGCCCCTACATCGTTCCGTGGTACACTGCCTTGAAACAACTTGATCAACAAAACACTTTGATTCACACGCTTTCCATCCACCAATCGACAGGTCCTTCCGCGTTCCATGTAGCCCCTGGCCGAAACCTTCCGCTTCCAAATGGGCCCCTCCCTCCCCGTTTCTCCCTCCCCGTTTTTCCGGAGCCTGCGTCAGGATACTGACTGCAGAGTGTTGAGGATACTGTGAGCTGCGAACGGTGCTAACTCTTAAACCAAGGCCTCAGCCGTGAACGAAGAGGCCGAATCTTGAATCAAAGTCCAAACTAATAGCACTGGCACCGTCGATATATATGTAGGACCCGTGGTGCGTCTCTGCTTCGATGTACCAGGCCGCTGTGGAGCACTTGCTGTCCCGTGTGCCCCCATCCGTACGCACTATCAAATTAGAATTTGCGAGACCCCTCACTCCCTCCCCTTCCTCCCCTTCCTCCCCCTTCCTCCCCCCTTCCCTTCACCCTTCCCGCCCCCACCCCCCCGCACTCACCATCGAGGTGATCGGGGCGGAGGCGTTAAAGAAAACGGTTCGGTCCGGCCGTTGGTGGGGCCGACGAGCGCGACGACGGGGGGAGTGGAGACAACACAGGAGGCCGAAAGTAGGACCCTCCCTCTCCTTCCTCCCCCCTTCCCTCGACCCTCCCCGTCGCCCCACCCCCAACCCTCCCTCCACCCTCCCCCCTTCCCACCCTTCGCCCTCCCTCCCCTCCCACCCTCCCACCCTCCCACCCTCCCACCCTCCACCCTCCCACCGTCCCCCCACCCTCCCTGTACCCTCCCCGTTCCCTTCCTCGAGAGGAGGCTCACGGCCTGCGCCAGCTGTGCCCGTGACAGCGCACTCCGCAGCCGAGCGGCGGCGGGGCCTCCCTCTGCACGACCGCCCAGGAAATTTGGGGCCGATTGAGAGGACTTTTCCTTGTCGTCATCCGTCCTCCCCTTCCTCCGCCAGCCTTCAACTCCTCCACCTCCTCCTCCTCCTCCTCCACCTCCTTCCCGTCCTCCTCGTCACCTCACCTGCCCCGTTCTCTTATCATATCTCTCCTCCTTATCCTCTTCATCATGATAGGCAACGAGCCCAGAGGGGGGGAATCAGTCAGAGGGTGCGGGCCTCATCAGAAAGCTCGAAAGGCCTCTGGCCTTCTGAGAAGTTTCCCGAGCCTTCTCCGAAAGCAGAAACGGCTCCTCAGAAGGCCAGAGAGCTTCTGAGAAGCCCCGCCGCCTTCCCCCTCTCACTTCCGCCCCCCGGGCGCGCCGTCGAGAGAAGGGGGGAGAGGGGGAGGAGGTGGTCAGGACTTTCGAGCCAGCGCGCGCGAGGGCACGTGCCAAAGCGAAACGACTACCAAATTTCACGTGAACTCCGTTCCCGTGAGTTCGCTCCCCTCGTGCCGCGCTGGCAAGGCACGCGCGCGCGCTCGCACTGGCGTGGCGCCATCCCCGTGGGCGCGCCGCCGACATTTCACGGACCGCTCCCCACCGCGCACTGCGGGGGCCTGGAATGCAGTGTGACGTGCTTGCTTGCTTGTTTAAATATGATGCAGACGCCGCCGGCGGACCGCTCCTCACGCAGCAGCACGGGCAGCTTCAGAACCCAGTCGAGCCGAGGGTCCTCAGGGAAGTTCACGAGCTGCGCAGTCCCTCCGGCTCATGACTGAGTGCAAGCTCGTGTTCGACCGCAGGCTCGTGTTCGACCGCTCCGAATGCCGCGCTCGCGAGCGTGAGACGTCGCGGTCGGGGCACGCGGCCGATAGACTGGCTGGCCGCTTCGCCGACACACCGCTTCGCAAGCAAACTGCTTTGCAGGGACCGCTTCACCGGCAGATCGCTTCACCGGGGACCGCTTCGCCAGCCCACCGCTTCGCTGGCGGGCCGCTTCGCCAGAGGGCCAGCTCGCGGGCAGGCCGCCGTCGTCGACCTGGTCATCGTCTTTGCCGTCGCCGTCGTCGTCGCCGCCGTCGTAGTCTTCGTCGTCGTCGTCGTCGTCGTCGTCGTCGTCGTCCTGGTCGCCAGTATCGTCCTGGTTTCACTTCTCGTCGTAGTCGCGCGGACCCTAACAGGCGGGTCGGGCGGGCTGCCCCTGACGGGCGCGTCGGGCGTCGGGCGTCGGGCGGGGGGACTTTAAAGTGCTTTAAAGAGCGGGTCGGGCAGGCGGACCTTCCCAACGGACGGGCCAGGCGGGCGGGACGGCGGGCGGGCGCGGGCTTGCAAGCGCGCAAGCGGGCGGGGTGATCGCTGATTCGCCGCGCATCCGCGGCAGCTTCTCCGCAGGCAGCGCGCAGCGAGACTTGCAAGCCCCAATCTAATGCGGCGCTCTAATGCCCCCCCCCGCCTGAGAGTGATTGGCACGGGTTGGAATTCGAAGCGATCGGCGGCGCCCGGGGACGCCTTCGTGATGGCGCGCGCACGAGGGTGCGGCAACGACAGGCGGGAGCACAGCTGCGTGGCGCGATCTGCAGACGCAGAACAACATCGCCCTGCGGCTCTACCCCTGGGAAGAATGCCCGATGACCAGACCCAGGCGGCGATGTTCCGGACATGGCCCTGGGGATGGGGGTCATTCCTGAGATGGCTGCTGCGCTGCCCACCCATCTTCGACGCGCGGGGCGGGGTGATAGCTGCAAAATGCCCAAGACGCCGCCTCGCCGCACCACTCCAGGCGCCGTCCATCTGCCGCGCGCGCGAGAGCGAAGGCGCAACAGCGACAGTCAAACTATAGCTGCGGGGCGCGACTTGCGTCGCGCACGACTTCACGCAAGCGGCCTTGAGGGGCTCTCGGGCCCGTGCTGGCTGCTGCGCTGTCCCCGACGAACGGGGTCACGAAAAATTGGCAACGGAAATGTTGTCAATTCGCCGGCCCAACAGGCCAGAGGCGTGCTAAAATCACCGGAGAATCCCCAGGATCCCTACTTTTACACGGGCCCTTTCTTCTACACGTGCCCCCGTCTGCTGCGCAGCATCCTCAATTAGGCATGGTCCCTCCCGAAGCTCATATAAAACAACCGCTCGGTGCTAGACGTGTCTAGGAACACCCCCTGTTAGACAAAGCCCCTCCACAGGCTGACGAACAAAACGCACTAGTGCTAGGCATGCCCCTTTCCTTCGCAGGCCACCTCTTCTGCACGGCACCTATCTAGTAGACAAAGCCCCTTCCCCAGGCTGGTTGAAACCAGTTCTTTGGTGCTAGACGTGCTCCTCCTCCTCCTCCTCCTCCTCCTCCTGCACAGCACACTCTGCTAGGGAGAGAGGGAACGAGGAAAGGGAGGGAGAGGAGGAGAAGGACGGAGGATGCAAGGGAAGAGGGGGAGGGAGGAGGGTGGGAGGACCAAGGTCAGACTAAAGCAAAAAAAAAAAAAAAAAATAAAAAAAAAAATAAGAACAAAAAACAAAAAAAAAAATAAAAAAAGAAAAAAAAAAAAAAAGAAAGAAAAAAAAACATAAAAAAAACCAAAAAAAAAATAAAAAAAAAAAATAAACAAAACCAAAAATTAAAAAAAAAAAACAAAAAAAAACACAACATAATAAAAAAAAAAAAAATAAAAACTAAACAAAAAAAAAAAAAAATAAAAAAAAAAAAACAAAAAATAAAAAGAAAAAAAAAAAAAAAAAAAAAAAACAAAAAACAACAAAAGAAAAAAAACAAAAAAAAACCATAAAAAAAATAAAAAAAAAAAAACAACGCTAGCACGCGCCTCAACACAAAACAACAAGAATCACCCACTATGCCTGCAAAAGACATAAAAAAAAAACAAAAACAAAAAAAAACAAAAAAAAAAAAAAAAACAAAAAAAAAAAAAAAAAAGAAGAAAAAAAAGGGTCGCGACGGCTCCGCTAAGGTTCCCATACGACTCCAATCGGGTCTCAATCGGATTCCAATTCGCTTACTCAAACTTTTTCTTCAGTTCGAATTTTCCTCGGTTTGGGCTGTTCTTCGGTCTAGATTGTGATAGAATTTATATAATATTATTTTTTTTGTATTATTATTATTTATTATTTTATTTTGTTTTTATAGTTTATAATATTTATATTATTTAGTCATTTTTTATTTTTTTTAGTCAATTTAGTTCGTAATATTTATATTTTTTTTTATAAATTAAGGCTGTCCTCGTTGTTTTCGTTCGGTTATGGCTGTTATCCGGTGTTGTTTTCGTCGTTTTGGATTTTTTCATCGGTCTGGGTGGTTATCCGTGGTTCGTTTGTTCCTTGGCGTGCCTGTGTTCTCCTCGAATTCTCAAAACGTGGTAGGATCGAGAACGGTTCCAATAGGACTCGAATAGGACCCACATCGAATTCCAATCGGATTCTTGGAGCTTGCTCTTTAGTTTCAGTGTTCCTCGATTTGGGTGTGCTCCTCGATTTGGGTTTCTCCTTGGCGTGGGTGTTTGCCCGGGCCGGGTGTTTCTTCGGTTTATGTTTGTCCTCGACGTGCCTTTGTTTCCATCATCCTGTAAGACCCCTAGCGATTCCAATCGGATTCTGATAGGATTCAAACAGAATTCCAACAGGGTTCCTTACGCTTGTTCGTAAGTTTGGGTTTCCTCGGTTTTGGTGGTGTCCTCGATTTGGGTTGCATTTTTCCTCGGATTGAGCTTTTCGTGTGAATTCATTCTTCACGAACTCCCAGAACTCATTAGAATCCCGAACGAATCCAACTTGAACCCAATCAGATCAAAAACGAATTCCAATAGGAGTCCGTACGATTGTTCTTCCGTTTGAGTTCTCTTCGGTGTGGTGTGTCTCCTCTCCTTGTTTTGCTCGGCTTGTTTGTTTCGTCGGTGTGGGTTTTTTCTCGGCACGCTTTCATTCTCCTCGAGTTCGCAAAACTCAGCGGTGTCCCCAGCGATACTGATAGGATTCTACTTTGATCCCACTCGAATTCCAATAGAACTCCTTACGCTTGTTCGCGTGGGTTTCCTCGGTTTGGGTGCTTTCCCTTGATGTTGTTCCCCACATGTTTCGTGGGGTTCTGGTTTTCTTCCCTGCCGCGCCGCACCTGTGTCTCACACCTCCCCCCTCCCCTTCTCCTTCTCGCACAGCACAGCACAGCACAGCACGGCACGGCACGGCACGGCACAGCACAGCTCACCGCACAGCAGCACAGCACAGCACAGCACAGCACAGCATACCAAACAGGGCATTCCTTCGACGCCACAGAGGGTGGGGGTGCGCAGAGGGTGGTCCCTCAGCGCGGCCTCTATCCGTGACACGCTCGCAGATCGTGGCAGGCGTGGCACTTTCTCGACACCACAGGGGGTGCGCAGAGGGTGGTCCCTCAGCGCTGCCTCTATCCGTGACACGCTCGCAGATCGTGGCAGGAGTGGCATTTTCTCGAAGCCGCAGGGGGTGCGCAGAGGGTGGTCCCTCAGCGCGGCCTCTATCCGTGACACGCTCGCAGATCGTGGCAGGAGTGGCACTTCTCTCGACGCGCACAGGAGGGTCGAAGCCGCAGGGGGTGCACAGAGGGTGGTCCCTCAGCGCGGCCTCTATCCGTGACACGCTCGCAGATCGTGGCAGGAGTGGCACTTTTCTCGCACCACGCTTGGTGCGCAGAGGGTGGTCCCTCAGCGCGGCCTCTATCCGTGACACGCTCGCAGATCGTGGCAGGAGTGGCATTTTCTCGACACCACAGGGGGTGCGCAGAGGGTGGTCCCTCAGCGCGGCCTCTATCCGTGACACGCTCGCAGATCGTGGCAGGAGTGGCACTTTCTCGACTCCACAGGGGGTGTGCAGAGGGTGGTCCCTCAGCGCGGCCTCGCCTCTATCCGTGACACGCTCGCAGATCTTGGCAGGAGTGGCACTTTCTCGACGCCACAGGGGGTGCGCAGAGGGTGGTCCCTCAGCGCGGCCTCTATCCGTGACACGCTCGCAG